TAAAAAAAAAAAAAAAAAAAAAAAAAGCTGCTTTCTGGTTGTTGATGATGTTGTTTTGAAACAGGGTCTCACTAAGTTGTTCAGGCTGGCTTTGAATTCATGATCCTCCTGCCTCAGACTCCCAAGTGCTGGAACTGCAGGTGTGTGCCACCACCCCTAGCTATAGCTTTTTTATTTTATTGTTTGTCTGCCATAAACTCAGGATAACACATAATTATTGCTCAGGAATGCACGTTTCTTCAAGTGGGTTTTTCTTTTCTAAACTTTATAGACACACCTGTTGGTATGATTACATACCAACAGACAATCTAAGGGAGAGGTGCCAAAACACACAACCATAGCCACCCAAATAAAAATGGCACAACTTCTGGAAATTATGTTAAGCACTCTTAGTTACAATCCCCACTCAAATTCCCTGCTCTCTACATGAAGACGCCATTACCAGTGACTTCAAAGGTGTGTCAGAAACATGGTCCGTATTTTCTAGATAAAAGCACCAACCTGGAAAGGTTGAAGCACGATGAGGAGCTAAGTCTAAAGGTGACAACTTTGGGTCTGCCTTCCACAACTGATGCCAATACCTGCATTTGCCCTTACCTCCATGTGAGTAGGGCAAAGAGGGTCCAAATCCCCATGAAACCTGGATGGGAGGCTATATGGATCACTGCTAAACCCCAGCTCATCCCATAGGCCTGAGCCAAGGATTAAATCCAGGATGCACTGACTGTGTGGCCTTGAGGCAAGATAAACCTCTGTTTAGTTCCAAGGACCACAGGACAGGGCCATGACTCCCCATTCCAACTACCTCCAACAGGAAGGGCTGATGAAGCAACTCACACACACAACTGCGCATGTGTGGAAACATTTAGCCCCAGAGGCTCTCCTTGAGAGGGAGGAACACAAGGCTTTTATCCTGGTATGACATGCTGCTTCGGAAGACTTCAGATTAATAAGCGATGAACCTGTTAGAAACATACCTGTACGAGCCTGTTGCGACTCGAATGCCATCAATCAGTGTGAACTTTTCATGAACCTTGCCAACAATTTTAGTTCCTGACCTCGCATAGTAGATATTTCCTGTAATTGTCCGGACTGACATCAGCTGTTGGTAAAAGAGCAGGAGGAAAATCGATGAACAACACAGGGATACTGATTCGGTGGGCAAATGAATAAGGTCAAAGGCTTTGGTTTGTAATTCTTAAACTTGCTGAAAGTGCATTGCTTAGGGTCAGCATTTAGCAACAACACACATGGTCTGCTAGCCAGATGTTACTCAGGTAATGTTACTTCAACATTAGTCCATCTTCTCCATGTCCTTTTTTAGGTTTACTTCTGAGACCCTTGGTTCATGTGAATATGTGCTCTAAAAGAAGACTAAACTTTTGGGGAGACTAAATAACAGAATTGAAGAAATGATTTGGAAACAAAAAGTGGGGGCCATATTCATGAAAGAAAAGAGGATAGTAATAACATTTTGATAAAGATTGACTGAAACTAAGCTGGTTACCTCTCCTACTTTTGTATTTTTCCTACTCTTTGTTTAACGCTATCTCTAAGAAACAACAGCCCACTCCAAATGACTCCCATTTCATGAGAGAAATGAACATAAGAACAGAGCATGAGTCTTCTCTAACATAGGCCTGCTAAGCCACTAACACCTCACAAGGGGCTTAATCAGCAAGTTCCATCTTCAACAAATACATATTTACCAAAAGATACATTAGAAATACACTATATGCATGTGTACACATAACTGTTCCTATAAAGTAATATATGTAAACACATATACTATGGTGTGCAAAATAAGAAAACCATATATATATTTTTTTGAAATAGGGTCTTGATATTCTGAATCATTATGTTCCCAGGCTATGGTCAAACTTGTGATCTTCCTGCCACAGCCTCCCAAGCACTGGGGTTATAGTGCCACCATACCCAGCTTACAATAACTCATTCTCGAAAGTTTAGAACACACTAGGATCTATATATTGTTAGAATATTACACATTCAAATTAAATGTTTAAGATTGTTGTTTGACTCTCATTCATTCCACATAGAAAGCCCCTATTATGCACCCAGCCCTGAGACAACAGGTATATATATAAGGTATGCTTCTTGGCCTCAGGACTGAAGTAGGAGAGAGAAAAATAACTGAATAATTAAAAACCTACAGCAAGACAGAGAAATGAAAACATTTGTCTACCCAAAAACCTCTACATGAATATTCATAGCAACTCTTCATAATAACCACAACTTGAAAACTACCTAAATGTTGTCCAATAGATGAGTGGTTAAACTATGGCACCACCGTGTGACACTACTCAACCATAAAAAGGAACAAATTACTGATATATAAAGCAACTTAGACCACAAGATGACAAAATGATAGAAATGGAAAACAAATTACAGGTTGGCGGGGTTAAAGATAGTGGTGGGTATGGAGAGGAGAGAGAGTCATAAAGGTGTAGTACAAGGGAGGTTTCTGGGCTCATGTACAGTTCTGTGCATTAATGTGCTTGGGAAATGAAAGGCACAGAACAACATACACACACACTGCACTAATGTCAACTTCCAGGTTTTGGTATCATATCAGTTATCTAAAATAAAACTAAGAGGACACAGAACTCGTCTTACTATCTTTGCAACTCTGAATCTATCATTATTTCAAAAGAAAAAAAAACTATGGCTAGATATACTATCATTTCTGTAGTATTAGCAAATGAACTGAACCATAAGGAAACATCAGAAAAACCCACATTCTACAGAAAACTAGCTAGTATTCTTCAAAAGTATGACAACCTGAGAGACCAAAAATTTAAAAAAAGGAAGAACAACTCCAAATGAAAAGAACTAGGGTTTAGCTCAGTGGTGTTGCCACCTGCCTTGCAAGTGCAAGGGCCAGAGTTTGATCCCCAGTGCCAAAAAAATTATATATATATAAAAGAATTACAAGTAAATTATTTTAAGGTAAAAACTTTTTTTTAAACCTAAGAACTTTCCGCAAAGTACATGTGGAATTGGCAGGAGGAGGGCTTCCTGGAGTATATGATTCCTGAGCTGAGTAGTAAAAATCAACATACAAGAATAAGCATAAAAATAGCACTGTGGGAAGACTTAGGTGTGGTTTTATACATCTTTCCCTTAACAACCACCTGAATGCTGTGTAGGCCTCTGTGACTGTGGCCAAAGCACTCTTGAGCACTCGCACATGAATATGTGACCAAGCTCCTGCAGACCAGACAACCCAGCACTCAACTGGTCACAGAGCCCAGGGTGGGGAGAAGTCAGTCCCCTCAGCAAGGGACAGATTCGCCAGCAGAGATGTGCTTGGGTGGGAGAAGCAACCAGGGAAGAAGGGGCCTCCCTAGGAAGGAATTAAGAAAACGTAAAATGTTGAAGTGAGAGGGCCAGACCACTTTTAAACCTCCTACAGTGGATTGGATGACCATGAGAGCTGCAGGCTCTGCTAAGGTTTAGTGGACAACTGAACCAGTAAATCCTCCTAGATTTCTATCTAATAGATGAAGGAGAGCCAATCAATGGATCAAAGTTATGGCTAGAACTATTCTGTGATTTCGGCTGTTAACACATCCTTAATTATAGAGAGTGCCTTAAAATTACACCCTGACACCTTCAATTTTTTTTTACCTGGCTCTGTGTGGGGCAGTCGTGGGCTGATATTCACTTACAGAATACTCTTTGCCATGTCTGATTTATGTTTTCCTTGGGCGCACAAGATCTTGTTTAAATTGACTGGTGAATTACATGGCTCTCTTATTTCATTCAGTCTCTTAAGTCTCCATCATATCTCCACCATGAAATTCCACCAGTGACAGGTCACTAACTACTTCATTAAACTTAATCCTCCATTTCCCCATTAGAGGAAACAAGAGCCAAGGAGAACTCACAGAGAAGTTAAACAGCCAAAATTTTGCAGACCAAACTGCTTGATAATAACAAGGTGGTAAGTTAGTGTCTCCCATGCAGAAACTTATAGTACTAAAGCCCACATTTTTTGATCATGTTGCTGAAAATGAACCTAGTACCTAGAATAATATGCAGCACACAGTAGATATTCAAATAGGTCACTAACACATTAAGTTCTGAAAGTTCACAGGCTAAGTTGCTTAATTAAAAAGCGTAAATTTTATAAAAATATGACTTTTTTTTTTTTTTGCCTCTTTCCATTAATGCGACCAAGACAGCTAAATTGCATAGACTTATTTATTTTTCCTGGTCAGAATGATTGAATCCAGTAGCGCTCTAACAGTGAGCTACATTCCCCAGCCCTTTTTATTTTTTATTTTGGGAGAGGATCTGGCTAAGTGGCCCAAGCTGCCTTTGAATTTATGAACCTCCTGACTCAGATTCCTTCACAGCTAGGATTTTGAATTTGCATCACCGCACTGAGAAGTGTAGCCTTACATTTAAATACTTAAATTATTCTCACAGCCAGAGAAAAGGATATAAAATCTAATTTTATAATGAGAAATAAGCAGCAGCAGGTGACAGAGATCATGCACACAGGGGTTGGAGGCAAAAAGACTGAGACAATTCCCAGGCTTGCTACTTTGTACTGTGGACACTTGGCCTCTGTTGCTATTTCCTGACCTAAAACATCAGGGCAGAGGCAGAGGCACTGACGGGGCTGCTGTGAGGATTGGTCACATAACGTTTGTTAAGAGCACTGAGCAGTGCCCAGGATAGAGCTCAACAAATAGGGATCATTAGATTAAAAGTGGAGCCTCCTGGAGTCACTGTCAAGCAGCCCTTCCAAGGCAGCCTCCAGGCCCTCAGCCATGGAGCTAGTTTCTGCCCATTTTAGGAGACAGCACAGGACAGGGAGAGAGGCCAACTTTTTGAAGCTTGACCAACATTTCATTTCTTTCCTTTCAACAGCTTAATCAAGATGTAATTCACATACCATACAATTCACGCTTACTGTATAATCCTGTGGTTTTCATGTATATTCATGGATATATCATCACAGTCAATTTTAAAGCATTCCCATCACCTAAAAGAAACAGTCTGTACCCTGTAGCTACCCCACTCTTCCTTCCACTCCCCCTGCATCCTAACCCTGATGCTAGTCTAACTCCTATCTCTATTGAGATCCCTATTTTGGTCTTGTCTTTCCTATAAACGGAATCATAAAGTGTGGTGTTTTGTGACTGGCTGCCTTCATTTAGCATGTTTTCAGGTTCATACACACTGTAGCATAGGTCAGCACTTCATTTCTTCTGGTGGTTGAATAATGTTCCATTGTATGAATAGACAACATATTGTTTATCCATTTATTAGCTGATAAATATTGGATTGCTTCCATCCCTTGGCCAGTATGAATAATGCTTCTATAAACATCCATAAACAAGTCTTTGTGTGGACATGTACTTTTGTTTCTCTTGGGAAGATACTTAGGAGGAGAATCAGAAGGTCAACAGTGTTTATTTGCTGTGAGACTTTGGGCAAATGACTTCGCTTATTGTCTTGGTTCCCTCGCTTGTAAAGGGAGATGCAATCACCAATCAACTTGTATATCACAGAAACTCTGTCATATTTGTTGATTGAGGTAAAAATGCAAATCGTGTACCACACAAACCTTTTCCTGTTCAGGATAAACTTTCAGATCCATGCACATGTCCAGAAAGTGGGAGACCAGGGCTTCATCCAGAAGGATGTACACAGCCACGCCCTGCTCCCTACTAATTTCCTGCAGGTCTCTGAAGATGTCGATGTCTGTGAAAACATCCATCACCACAGCAATCACCTACAGGGGAAATGGAGTAAAAGACAAGATGTCAGATCACAAGACTGTCTGAAGGCTGGACCCATCTCAGAGCTAAGAATCCCATTCTGCAATCACCTTCTTCCTTCTTCTCAGGCCCAGTTTTCCCCTCACCATTCCATTTTCACAGACACTCAGGCCCCAGAATCCTACAGATCTGGACTTGGCCCAGCTGCCTTCCAGCTACTCTCCTCTAGTGAATTTCTCAAAAATATATAGATAAGCTACTGCCTTGTCTGCCTGTGAATCTGATCTGTTCAACTTCTGTTCCTTCACTAAACCCTCCTTGTCCAGGCTTGATTTAGATCAGTGAGCTGTCTGGCTCTGGGCCAACACACTACCATCTAAGGTACCCTCTTCCACCCCCACACCCAGCTTCAGCATTAAGCAAGCAAGACTTTAGATTCCTGAGGCCCCTTCTAGATGTAACATTCTCTAAATATATGGTCATGAATATTGTCTGATTTGGGATGATCTCAAGTTTTGTTTTGTTTTCCTCAGTACTGGGAATTGAACCTAGGGCCTTTGTGCTGAGCTTGCCAGCCCTTTTAAAAAACATT